AATGCGTGCGTCCACCCAAGAGCACCACACCCGTGGCCTTGGGACTCCTTTCCTGCAGGCCAGACTGGAGGCATCACTGGCCGTAAAGAGCAAGCTGGACCTAGGAGACTATGCAAGGCCTGGTGGGGAGGTGAATTCCTACCCCTGCCCAGCAGTAATGAGGCACACCTCCCTCGGGCATCAATGAAGCTCCACTGGGGAACCTGGATTTGTACCCCTGCCAGGCAGGACCAGGGCAGTGCCCCCTGTTTCCCGCCAGACCAGAGTCAAAAAAGCCCTCAGAATAAGGAAATAATGATCAGCGGACAGGTGGGAATGTTTTCACTGTATACCCTTTGGTACCATCTCAATTATGAACTGTTAAAAATTAGACTTCTGATTTTGGAAAAATGGAGGGGACATACATTTCCCTATTCCTCCTGCTAAGTTAACTACAAACTCTGGATATTAAATATAAAACAAACGCAAGACGTCTCTGAAGGGTGGAGAGAAGACGGCAGACCAGCTAGCGACCTCAGGAAGCAAAGATCAACAGGGTGGTGCATCCCTGAATTTTCCTTCTGCCTTGTACAGCCCAGCCTTCAGCTGAAGAGGCTGCAACCTGAAAACACCCACAGGCACAGACAAAAGACGCCCGAACAAAAGCCGACTCTCTCTAGCCAAAGGAAGAGAGACGAGGCAGCCTAGCAGGACATTTTAGACAATAACTGCTCAACTCCAGCCAAAAACCACAGGAAAACACTGGTCCCACCCGACCCAGGCCAGCAAAGGCCACGTAGGGGGCCCAGACTTCCACCTTTGCCATGCTGGTTTCAGAGACGGCAAGGCTGAGAGCTGAGACTTTCATCCCCACCAGGAAGTAATGATACACCCCTCTCACTCCCCACTGGGGTGTCTGAGGAAGCCTCAGTAGAGTAAGGAGTGTCACCACTGCCCAAAGGTAACAAGGCTCCCCCGCTCTGGAGTCAGTGCAGGCCCCGTGAAAGGCAGTAATGAACCACTGCCCAAAGGTAACGAGGCTCCCCCACTCTGGAGTCAGTGCAGGCCCTGTGAAGGGCAGTAATGAACCACTGCCCAAAGGTAACAAGGCTCCCCCGCTCTGGAGTCACTGCAGGCCCCGTGAAGGGCAGTAATGAACCACTGCCCAAAGGTAACAAGGCTCCCCCGCTCTGGAGTCAGTGCAGGTCCTGTGAAAGGCAGTAATGAACCACTGCCCAAAGGTAACGAGGCTCCCGCTGCATTGGAGTCAGTGCAGGCCCTGTGAAAGGCAGTAATGAACCA